TCACATACACACACACACACTCACACACACACACACACTCACACACACACTCACACACAAACACACACACACACACTCACACTCACACTCACACATACTCGCTCCTTCCTGGTTTCCCCACTCTCCCTGGCACATTGTGATTGTCTCCAGGTGACGTTGCCTTTTGTTCTGGGCAGCCACCACTTAATTTTTATTTGACTTTATATTTCTTTTTTGTTGTTTTGTTTTGTTTTTTTTGTTTGTTTGTTTGGATTTGGTTTTTCGAGACCGGGTTTCTCTGTGGCTTTGGAGGCTGTCCTGAACTAGCTCTTGTAGACCAGACTGGTCTCGAACTCACAGAGATCCGCCTGCCTCTGCCTCTGCCTCCTGAGTGCTGGGATTAAAGGTGTGCACCACCAATGCCTGGCAACTTTATATTTCTATACTGTGGTTTTTTTGTTTTGTTTTAATTTTAAAAAAAAAAAAATATGGAATGCTTCACGAATTTGCATGTCATCCTTGTGCAGGGGCCATGCTAGTCTTCTCGTATTTTTTCCAATTTTAGTATATGTGCTGCCAAAGTGAGCACTATACTGTGGTTTTTTTTTTTTTTTTAAGATTTTATTTATTTATTATGTATACAACATTCTGCTTCGATGTATATTTGCACCAGAAGAGGGCACCAGATCTCATAGCGGATGGTTGTGAGCCACCATGTGGTTGCTGGGAATTGAACTCAGGACCTCTGGAAGAGCAGTCAGTGCTCTTAACCCCTGAGCCATCTCTCCAGCCCCTATACTGTGGTTTTTAAATGGATTTATTTTTCTTTTTTGTGTATAAATATTTCGTGCGCTGGGAGATGGTGGCACCACCATGTGCATGCCCGGTACCATCGGGGGCCAGAAGAGGGCATAAGATCCTTGGAACCGAAGTTACAGATGATTGTGAGCCACCATGTCGAGTGCTGGGAATCAAACCCTGGGTCCTGTCTCTGAAAGAGCAGCCTGTGCTCGTAACCACTGAGCCACCTCTCTGTTTTGAAGCATGGGTTCTGGCTGTAGTGATGAGTTTGTTGGAACAAGAGGCTGGTTTCTTTAGAATCGTGCCGTGAAGTCTGCCCTTTGTTGCCCTCCAGGCACCATCCAGGAGGATTACCTGAGGGAGCTGCTCACAACCATGGGCGACCGGTTCACAGATGAGGAAGTGGATGAGCTGTACAGGGAGGCCCCCATTGACAAAAAGGGGAACTTCAACTACATCGAGTTCACACGCATCCTGAAGCACGGAGCGAAAGACAAGGACGACTGAAGAACTTGAGCTGAAACTCCTGCTGCGTTAGCTGACCGCTTCATTTCTCAGACGCTTCTCCCACTTTGTAGGACCTAGTGCATGCCACTTAGTTTCACAGCTTTGCCTCTCTTTAATGTATTTATTTCAGACCTTTCTGTCACTTAGCACTTGTATAATCAGACTGGAAATGGGGACAATGTTGTAAATTGTATTGAAAATGAGACACAAATAAAAATCAAAAAATGTGAAAGCCCAGGAAAATACATCCGTATTTCTGGTTTTGCTGGATTTTTTACATTTTTATATAATAAAAATGTTATTTTGAAATAAAGATTATGCTGACTCAAATGGAGTATAAAACACATGAGTGATAGTTTGGGGTAGTCCTTTCTTCAAGTTTACAACTTGGTAAGATTCAGACTTTATAATTTTCATATTCCTGGGACGGGGTTCTTCAGATTTTTTTTTTTTTTTTTTTTTTTTTTTTTTGAGACAAGGTTTCTCTGTATTGTTTTGAAACCTGTCCTGGCACTAGCTCTGTAGACCAGACTGGCCTCGAACTCACAGAGATCCATCTGCCTCTGCCTCCCAAGTACTGAGACTAAAGGTGTGCGCCACCAACACCTGGCAAGAACTTTTAAGTACACTTTAGCATCTTTAAAATTTAGTTACACCCTTAACCTTTATCCTGCTCCTTCTAGGGAGATGTCTACTAAATGCTAAGTATAGAGTGTTGTCTAGCAAAACATATTTCATTGATCTCATTGTAAGCACATGTATAGTTCTGGAGAAGTGAATGTTTACTGTGCATAACATTGCACCTCCATGGTTCTCACAGCATCTTCATCACAGTTTGGTGAGAGGAACTGTTACTAACTGTACTGGAAATGGAAGTGATTACTGCGGTTGAAACCAGGGCCCTGAGTATGCTGTTCCACAGAGCCACTCACCCTCTTTTGTAAGTTGGGGTTGGGTGAGGGCTAAACTCAGAGAAGCCCAGAATCTGGCTCTTTGGTCATTGTTGGTTAGAGTCATAGTTCTGTCTTACTAACTCCAGAGCTCACAGCACTGGAACCAAGGTCTACAGAAAGCAAAAGTGCCGACACATTTCCATTTCACTGAATTCAGAATCCAGTAGTAGAATTCAGTAGTCAAATGGTTGAAATTTAAAATCATCTTGCTTAAGACAGTAATTTGAAAACTTTTGGAAGATTTATCCCAGGGAGAAAGCAGAAGACAGAGATGAACAGGCTGTCCTGTGCTCAGCATATACAAGGCCCTGTGTTCAAACCTCAGTGAAAAAAATTAGTGGATAAACATCATAAGCAACTATAGATGTGCTAAAGACAGTTGCAGTATAGACTTATGGAAGGAGAGAAAGGCGTACTTGGAAGTTTGGTGACAGTGACAACCTATTTTTCCTTCTAAACGTGGTGGTCAAAGTCAGCATGTGCACTGCTTGCTACTTGTGTTGTGGAGCTTGATTGCACTCTGCTCTGCTCTCTCTTGCTGTCCTTTCAGTAGCTGAGCTCTTCTCTCGTCTTTAAGTGAGACAGGGTTCAGCTCAGGTAGGCAAGATATTGTCCTGCTACCAAGTAAGCACTCACACTGCAGAGGAGAAATCACTGCTACTACTCACTGATAGAAGTTAAGAAAAGACAACACTCCCATCCAGGAACATGATGAATCCCAAGAATCCATATGAGGTTCCCGTTTCCATCTCAGTCACTAGGAAGTGTCACAAAACCAAAAGAATTGTATGTAGGTAAAGCAAGGCAGAAATAGACACCAAGTCACTTACGCAGTACGTATTAGCCAGCAAGCTCTTGTGTTGCTGACCAACGGCCAAGACAGACAGGAGAGACAGACTCAGATTCCAGGCAGAGACATGATACTGTGTGGTGGTGAAGAACACTGCATGACAATGTAGTCAGAGACAGTCCCTACAAGGCATAGCCAAGGTGAGGTCTGCTTAACAAGAAGGAGTCCCTATGCAAAGGCTGGGGTGAGACGGTACCCTCAGGAGACAGCTTCTCCCAAGGCACAGTGGCAGTAACAAGTACAACATGAAGATGCTGTCAACTCAAGGATGTCATCGACGTAGTGACTCATCTCCATGCAGGGTTAACTCACATGGCTTTTGATCTCTCTTCTCTGTCCTCTTCCAGGCAGCTGCTGGGTTTTACAAATTGTTTCTCTTGGGGTTTTTATTTAAAACCCTAATAAAGTTGTCTTTAAGCTCCCCTATGAGTCTGTCCTTAAATCATTTTATTAATGGAACTGAGAACCCCAAGAAGGGACCCAGTTTCTCTGCTATTGTTCTCTACTAAGTATGATAAACAACTCCCTCCAGGGGTGGCCCACGAAAGTGATGATCAGAAATGACACCACTAATTTGTTATCCTTTTCCAGAAGTTATAAAAGCCTTAGTCACTGCATTTTGCCCTCAGAACTCCAGGACATGGATAATGCAGGCATTGTTGTTTATTTTATAGGTAGGAATACTGAACTACAGAAGTTACCTGGTTTGTTCAACTTTACTCACTAGACAGAGTCTAGCCTCTAAGTTTTCTGACCCAAACATTAAGCCTATAATTTCCTAATTAAATAATTGGTACCCATAGACTGATCATGATACTTCCCAGTTACAAGGGATTTAAAATTTCCCTCTACTCTTTAAAAGTCAGTAACGTGTCCCACTAGGTGTCCTAGTCAGGGTCACTATCGCTGTAATGAAACCCATGATCAAAAGCATCTTGGGGGAAAAGGGTTTATTTCACCCACAGTCCCATGTGACAGAGAGGGCAGGAACTCATGCAGGGCAGGAGACTGGAGACTGGAGCTGATGCAAAAGCCATGGATGGGTGCTGCTGACTGGCTTGCTCCTCATGACTTGCTCAGCCTGCTTACAGAACCCAGGACCTTCTGGCCAGGGATAGCACCACCCACAACAGACTGGGCCCTCCCACATTAATCACTGATTAAGAAAATGCTCAACAGCTGGACCTTACGAAGGCATTTTCTTAATTAAGGTTCCCTCCTTTCAGATGACTCTAGCGTTGTGGGCTATTTGATCAAACGATGAAACTCAGAGACTGTTAATAAAGTTAACCTTGGATCAGGAGGCAGAACCAGTGACTAGTTGACAGGAATGAGCCATAGTGAGGACGGGCGGAGCCAGGAGTATGGATAGAGACTTTCGAGAGACTTCGAGATTCACGGTCTTTTTGGTTTTGGATGGGTGGGGAGACACTGTCTTGCTGGGTCTCCAGCCAAAAAGGAAGGTCAGCTGGTTGCTTCTTAGTTTCTGTGATCTGATTCCTGGGTCTTTATTGGTAAATAGAACAACCTAGGTAAAAACAAAACTCAAGCTTACAACAGTCTTGCTTGTTGTATGTGTTAGTATTCACGCATCTGCACTGGCCTGTCCTTGGGGTTCTGACAGGACAAGCCCTCAGCTGCAACCACTGAGAGCACCACCTGTGCCTGTTCACTGTGTTCCCCCCCCCCTTTTTCCCACTATGTTCCCCTTTAAAGGGCTCTGCCCACTTTCCATCCTTTTCTCTTTCTCTCCCTCCCTGTTTCCCTCTCTCTCCCTTTCCCTCTCCTCTCTCTCCCCCTGTTTCCTTTCTCCTCTCTCCTGTTGCTCCTGTCCCCAAAGGCTGCTCTTACTTTCCATTTCCCCTTTTTATGATCCCTTTTCCTAATTAAAACAATAACAACAACAACAACAAAACCCTCTGCTTGAACCCTGTTGCATGGCATCTTTCTCTCGAGCACCACTTTTCTTAAATTACAACAATATGAAGCTGACATGAAACTAGCCAGGACACTGGTCTAGGTTGACAATAGGAAAAGTGTAAAAATCTACCTGCAGCTGCCCTTACACCCTCACAGGTGACTCAGGTCAGGTGTTTGTCATCCAGTCTGAATAAGGGGCTGAGGCTTGGGAGGCGGTGGGTAGGTGCTGACAGACTGGGGAGGCTGCAGGGAAGAAATCTATGACAGACAAACATCATCTTGTTAAAAGATAAACTCTCCCAGGGAGCAGTCACTAGAGGACTACTAGGTCACAGCCTGGGTCAGAAGCTGCTCCTTTGGCCTCTTTTCCTGGACGCAGCTCTTTTCTCAGAATGCCTGTTAGGTAGTTTTTCAGAGCAAACCTCTGCTTTCATCAGCATTCTTAAGCACTACATAGTGGGGATTCATCACCTTTCTGCGCTCTAACATAGTCAATGCGTATGCTACGGTCTAGACTGATACGTGGTTCTATTAGCACTATGCCTTCCAGGGGATGGAGAGATGGTTCAGCAGTTCGGAGCACTTACAGAAGACGAGCACTTGTTGCTCTGGCAGAAGATTCAGCTTGGTTCCAGTACCATGCAGAGGCTTATAACAAGCCAGTTCCAGGGGATCCTGCTACCTGTTCTGGCCTCCTTGGACACCAGATGAACAGACGTGCGTGCAGACAAAACTCCCACCATACTCGTAAGTAAAATAATAACAAATTTTTATTTTAAAAAAAACTGTTATGCCTTACCGTAGACGCACAATCCTTGAAATATGAACATAGGAAGTATTAAAAGACCTGGTGTGGAGAGATTCGTGAGAATGCAGCCGAGGAGACTGGTTTAGGATGTGAGAGTTTATCGCGTCCTGTGGTTTTGAAGGAAGGGTTCTTGGGTTGAAAAATGGTGGCAATTGCAAATTATACACATCTTTGTACTTAGTGGATCTTGCTTTTAAAAAAAGAAAGTCTAACTCAATTGTTTAGCCACAACAACTCGAAGTGTCACTAGGTGGCACTATTGTTCCTGGTACTGTAGTAAACCAAGCCTTAAGGAACTTTAAGAGTGCTGAGTGATGATGGCTGCACTGCCTTTAGAGCCTTGGCCCCACTCAGAATTCTTTAGAGAGAACAGGGAATTCACACATCCATTCATTTGAAATTTAGGGAGTAGTTTCTGGGATTTGATTTTACAGATACCCATAGAAAGTCCCTCCTTCCCTTACTCCCCTTCCTTCCAGCCAGCCATCATTAATTCACGTATAAATATTTGTTGAGTAATTGGAAAGTTCCAGAATATCCTGTTCTGGGTCTCTCCCTCTCCCTCTCTCTCCCTCTCTCTCTCTCTTTCTCTTCTCTCTCTGTCTCTCTGCCCCCCCCCCATGGGCTTGCATCAAATTCCTGGCTCAAACTGTCCTCTGACCTTTTTCAAACTGTCCTCTGATCTTTCTCTCCTGAGTAGCTGGGGCTTACAGACACCACCTCACCCAGTTCCACTTTTTGGTCACTGAGTATTTGAGCAGGACTTGATCATTGTTGCTTTT